TTTCTTTCTTAGAGCTAGAAAATTCAAAGCTGGATTTTTTTCCTTGCTCGAATGAGGAACTATTTGCTCTATGCAATCTTGAAGTGTCCCCAAGCTCAGAGAAAGTTGTTTTTTCACCAGAGTTGCGGCTCTCATCGGTTGGATGAGAAGCTCTACCATGATCAACCAAAATAATCCGATAAAGGTCTCTGTGAGTCTTGCAATGGCAAATGCATCCGCAGGTCCATAGTTTTTTCTGCCTAAAATCAGTAGTGCTCCTAAAACTGCTGAAATCCCGCCTGCTTGGCCATACATCCGGCTATGCCTTAAAAAACTAGTAAAAATAATCCAAGGCAGAAGCAGTAGGAACCTTATCTCTGCAAAGTTTTTAAAAATGAAGCAACCCAGAACTCCATAGACTGATCCCATTGCTGTCCCTTGTGCTCGTGTATTCGCAACTGTAAATGTTGGTTGTGTTCCTGTTGCGAAGCTGATGGCAATGGAGAGCCCTGCCCAGTACCCATTTTCTTTGTTGAAAATCAGACCGGAAAACACAGCCAGACCCAGCGAAAATGAACACTTGATTGCAAATACAAGTCTTTCATTACTTGGTGTCAAGTTCCAGCCACAGGTGATTCTTTCGAAGTTACTCTTAGCTTCTTCTTGTGAATTCCTTGATTCTTCAGTGTTAGTTTTCCAACTGCTATCTGAAAGATGGTCAGGATTTTGAGTGATGGTTGAGTCATGTTGGAGGAACTTTATACAGAAAAAGAAGAAATAAGCAGGTAGGTCTTTGTGAGTTGGGATGATGGTTTTAGTGAGCTGGAGGGGTATGTCTAATTTTTCGCCCTTTGTCTCTGGAGCTGTAGTTGCATCTAAAGGCAGAAAGCACTTAGCCTGCTCTAGTTTTAGGCCAAGTTGTTCTTCTATTCTCGCTAAAACCTCCCTGAGTTCATCATTAATAAAGCTGACGGGAAAGGAGGGGCCAGAAGTTAGGGCCATCTCCATCCCTCTTATCCATATTTCAATCTCCTGCAATCTATCTCCTGTATTGATGAAATGAGGTCTAATAGGAACTCTCTCCCAGTGCACAGCTTCCTGTTCCAGAAAACAGTTTTTTAGCTAATGAAATTAGACAAGGCCAACATGACAAGGACTACCAGCAGTGTGCACAAGTTAATGCTACTTTGCATGTGTGATTAGCCCAAGATTTCTTTGTGTCTTGTTAGCACTAGGATTTTAATGGGTGATGAATTTTAAAGTCGTGCAAAGTGTGTCCTGTTAAAATTTGCTTGGTCTATCTATATCTGACACATTCATGCTTCTGTGTCATTGGATTCATGAGACCCATTTATTTGATGGGTTTAGCACTTCAACTTGTTTACCATCCAAAGCCGCTAAGGATAAACCCAAACTCACTACCTCGATTTTGTATCAGGTTCTTGAGTCGTGTAGAAATTGCCGGATTTAGTTAGTTACAGCCGTTTCGAGTGTGTTCTTACCTGCATGAGTTCGATGTTTTCAAGAAGCTTGGCTCCTGTTTCAGCTAAGGGCTTGCCCTGAGAGATTAGCTCAAGTGGAGTCAAGTTGTCTTGGGCAGAGAAGGCCTTCACAAATAGAGATATCCTCTCTGAGGCATTTTCAGCATATAATCGGCATAGCTTTCTGACCTGCCAAGCATCGAAATATCAGCCACTACCACTGGAATGGGATATTAGCAATAAGAATCATTTCTGCTGTACTCAATTTTGGAGTAGAACAGTTCCCTCTGTTGGTGAATGCATACGTTTTGTCTAAATGTTAATTTTTTATATTATATTTTATTATTTTTAAATAAACCCATGCAAGGTCTAAGGCTAGGATCAATTTTTGGGTATGGTATTTTTTTTTGGGTGGCTACCGTAGACTTATCCATCCCTATAATGAATACATGGTTGTTGTTTATTTGATCAGGGAATAATGTGAACACTTGTGGACCAAGTGTGGGGACTTGTACTATCTGATTCCTGATTCTCTAACTTTGGGGTAAACTTTTAGACGATTTATTTTGACCAAAGACGGTCTTACAATGAAAATTGAGTGATTAAGATTTTGGTTATCTCAATCATGAGATTTAACGAGACACTAAGAAGTTTATGCGATAAAGTTGTTGAATTTTGATCGCTAGATTTTGATTTTACGGCTGTGTTTGGGGGTGAAAATTCAGACGATGAATTTCGGTCCATAGGATTCAACTTGTATGCAAAAAACAGGTAATAGATGGACAATTGGACAGCATTAGTGGGTTGAAAAGAAATCAGCTTGGGGGGAGCATTTTATGCTGATTCTTATCATCATATCATGGACATCCCATCAACATTCTTCTTGTCGTCAATCAAATTTTAGAATCAAATTAAGAATTCAAATGACATAAAAATATATTATTTGGAATCTTTATTGTGATTCAAATGACATAACACTAAATAAAGAAGTCCAAGTTAACTGTCATGTCATTTGAACTTTTAATTTGATTCCAAAATCTAATCAGTATAGCATTACTAGTCGCTAATAATCCTAAAGTTAACTACACAACAAGCAATCACACTTTACTACACCGTTATGGTGAGTTATAGTCTCTTTTTTTTTTTGGGTGAAAGGAGAGTTATAGTCAAAATAGGGCACATTCACATAATTCACAATATTTAGCATATAGTATAAGCATATATCATTATCTACCTTTGGAATGCAATAATTTCGATACAAGGATAAAATATTCAATACACATCAAACACCTCGTGATAGTGTCATATGATGTACATCACTTACAAAATACCATATATTCCTAATCAATAATTATCACTTGAAAGTTAAATTTTTTTTTTTAAAAAAAAAAAAATAGTATGACATTGATACGTAGTGTGCCGTATAAGCACTGCATATTTTTCTTCTATACGCAGCATAAACAAACTGGATAACGAATCAATTCAAAGTTTCATATGGACCAAGTAACCAGCTTGCATGCATGCACCAATAGTTCTATGGTTGGATATGGGTACAAATCTAAGAGATATTCTAAATTCTAGAGAAATTCTATTTACGAAAGACGATTCGTGTAGTTGACTGTAAAAAAAAATGTTGGAATAAATTTTAATTGAGTTGAGATGAGAATTTACCGTCATGCTGGCATGGGTTTACCTCATAATAGGATAGCCGTGGGTATGGCAGCAGCAAAGCCACGACGGAAGCCACAGCCCCGAGGGCTGTGCTCGATGCAACTCGAACAGGGTCAATGATGGCTCCAGTTTGCTGTCCATGTATAACAGCACTTACATACACAATAACCAGTTGTCCGAAAGCAATCCGTTTAGATACCAAGTGTGTGGACTGCGGCAGCGCCACCACAAAAGCACTCACCGCCACCCCTAGGGCGGCACTGCCTGCCGAGAACCAGGCAGGCCCCACAAGCCACAGGGACAATATAGAAGCTGGCACCACCTGAACTGTAGCATACAGGGCATGCCAGCAACCCCTTATGGTGTCACCAAGTGTCGAGTCGGACACAATCAGTATGGCAGTCACGTAGGAAAAAGCTGGATATGCAAGTTGAGTCCGGAGAGACTGAGGACCATAGAGGGTGGTGCAGCCCACTATAGTGCATGCCATCACCGCCCGAAAGGCCGAGCTCAGGCGTGTGTACCACACCGCCTGGGCTCGGTGGGCTTGGTTTTCTGGCGTTCTTGCGGCTACCAGCATTTTGTCAAGTCACTAAGGGTGCCGAGAGAAGATGGCTAAAAATGGAGGCAAAGAAAGGGACCGTATTAATAAGTTGGCAAGCCTGGGATTTGCATAGAAAAGACCGTCACAAAGTGCAGGCTTGGTTTGAAAAGCTGGGATGGGGATTTGTAATTGTAGGAGATGAGAAAAACTTTTTCTGGTCATATGTGGGGCAACTTTTTTATTACTTGTGCTAAAAAGTCTTCAAATGTCATTACTGGTAATAATACCTTGTAAGGTTAGTTATACGTCTCAAAATATGAGATTTATCTTATTTTAATTTATAATATTTTAATTATATTATTTTAATTCTTGAATTATTAAATATATTTATATATGATTTTTCAAGCAGATATCGTTTAAATTATTAATAATTTTTAATTATAAACTTATCACATAATATCTAAATATGAGTAAACAAATAAATTAGATAAATCTTGACCAAACTAAATTTTTATTCAAATTTTGGTCAAAGAGCTACTGATATTACATATTTTTACTCAAGAGCTACTCAAATTTTGGTCAAGAGCTACCAAAAATATTTTTTTTTCTCAAATTTATGTATTACCTAACACATTTATAACAAAAAATCGTTAGTAATTTTGATGTTGTGTGCTTGAGAGATTACATAGAAATATATTCAATACTTCAAGAACTAAAAATAATGCAATTAAAATATTTTGAACCAAAATAAGACAAGTTCTATAGATAATTGGGGATTGCTAGTATAATTAATCTCAATTTTAAATACGCATCAAGACAACTTTACTAGAAATTATAATAAAATTTGATTATTTTTGGATTAATTCTAATATTTTAATATTAACTTTGTTTGAATATATACTTGATCTCATTGAGTCAAAACTAATCTGATTGAGTTTGTATCTTGATCTCAAATAATTATAATTTAATATAAATTTTAGTATGGTATCTAACTCGAGACGTAGTAGGTTCTTATGTTAAAATCCCGGGAAATACAACTGTAACACGGAGAAAATAGGCCAATGTGGGGGATCGATCTACGAGGGTAGCCAGGCTTCTTTATTATTGTGCTACTTTCCCCAAAACATGGGAAAGATTAAGATTGCAGTTTGCAGCCGTTTATATTAAAATATAGTATTGCTAGGTGTCACTTTTTTCACAATGCTATACCATTTATTTATTTATTTTGGCATAACAAGAAACAATAGTAGGCAGGGCTTGCACTTTCTTTGTTGTGTAAATTTAGTTATCCAACCCCCCACTCTTTTCCCCCCAAAAAATAGTCCAATGATCATATCTCAAAAAGTATCTACAATATAAAATTAGACAAATTTTAACAAATCTATCTGACGGTTAGATAAATTTATCCAATAACTATCAACATTTTCTCAAAACCTTTTATATTGAATTCTCCCTCAATCCTCCAAAATTCACCACTTCTTACAAAGCGTGATTCTAAAAAGAGAGTGGAATAAAACCACAGTTCTATTTTGATGACAAAATGTTATTTTTGACTATGTGAAAAAGTTATGTATGTGGTGATTTAAACAAAATGTGTTCACAAAAATCAAAATTCAAATCCTTTTTTCTTATATATTAATAATATAAAGCAGTGCAGGCTTCAATAAATTTATCTGACGGTCTCAAATAAACTTATTCGACAGTTACCAACATCCATTTCAAAACTATTCATATTGCACCGTACTTTCAGGTACGTATTACTCCTAATATATATATACTAGTTATTGTCTGTGCCTGAAGACACAGAGTAATAGAAAATGGTAAATAATAAACATATTTGTATTCATATCCAAAATTAAATCACAAATATAGCAAAGAGATAGAAGAATTTAATCATCGATTTATAGTGGGGGTGAGAGGTGGTGGTAGGAGACGGTTATGGCTGTGGTGGGTGGCAATGACGGTGGTGACGACGAGGGCCACGGTGATGGTGGTGGTGGTGGCAGTGACGACAGCGACGGTGGTAGTGATAGTGGTGGTGATGGTAGCGGCGACGGTGGTAGTAGCGGTGGTGGCGACAGTGGTAGTGGAGGCGGTGGCGGTGGCGGTGGTAATAGGGGTGATAGTGACGGTGGTAGGGGTGGGAGTGGCAGTGGCAATGGTGGTGGTGGTGACGATTGTGGCGGTGGTTGCAGTGGTGGTTGGGGTTGGGGCGGTGACGAGGCTGTAGCGGTAGTGGCGATGGTGGTGGCAGCGGTGACGGTGGTAGCAGGGGTGGTGGTGGTAATGGCGACGACCAGGGGCGGTGATGGGGGTGGTGGTGCCGGCGACGGTGACAGCGACGACAGTGGGTGTGGTGGTGACGGCGGTGGTGGGAGCAGCGACGACGATGGCAGTGATGGTGGTGGTAGTGGGGGTGACGACGACGGCAAAGGTGGTGATAGTGGTGATGGTGATAAAGGTAGTGATAGAACGGTTTTAAACATTTTTTTTAAAAGTATTTATGAGAAATAATTTAAAAATACTTTTAAAAAGTCACTCCAAACACACCCGTAGGACCCTATTTTTCTTATTAAATTTAGGGTGTTAATATTAGCCGTTAGATTAACTTTAAAGTAAAATTTAAAGCGTTCTCAACCGCGAATAACAAAAGTCATTTTGTTTATCTTTTGAGATTTGAATTGTAAACTACTTTATTATATAAATATACTAGTTATTGTATGTGCTTGAAGACATAGAGTAAAAAAAATGATAAACAATAAATATATTTGTATTCATATCCAAAATTAAATTACAATATAAAAAAGAGATAAATGAATTTAAGCATCGTTTTGTAGTAGGGGTGAGAGGTGGAGGGCTACAGTGGGAGTGGTAGGAGACGGTGATGGTTGTGGTGGGTAGCAATAACCGTGGTGGGGGTGGGGGCAAGGGCGATAGGGGTGGTGGTGGTGGGCATGGCAATGGTGGAGGCTGTGCTAGTGGCGATGGCAGTGGTGGTGGGGTGGTGGTGGTGACAGTGGTGGTGGTGGTGGTGGTGGTGATAGTGGTGGTAACAGCGGTGATGGTGGCAGAGGTGGTGATGGTGGCGATGGTGGTAGCGGCGACAGTAGTGGCAATGGTGGCGATGGCACTAAAAGAGGTAGTGATGAGACGATTTCAAATACTATTTTTTTACAAGTATTTATAATAAATAGTTTATAAAAGTAATTTTAAAAAGTCACTTCAAACACACTCTTAGAAGCCTATTTTTGTTATTAAATTTATAATGGTAATATTAACGGTTAAATTAATTATAAGCTACTTTATTAACCGTCAAATAACAAAAGTTATTTTGTTTATCTTTTGAAATTTGAATTGTAAGCTACTTTATTATATAAACTAGTTATTGCCTGTGTCTGAAGGCACAAAATAATAAAAAGTGCTAAATAATAAATATATTTGTATTCATATCTAAAATTAAATCACAAATATAGAGAAGAGATAAAGATATTTAAGCATCGATTTGTAGTGAGGGTGAGAGGAGGTGGGCAATAGTGGTGGTGGTAGAAGACGATGATAGTTGTGATAGGTGGCAATGATCGTGGCGGTGATAGTGGTGGCGACGGTGGTGTTGACATGGCGGTGGCGGTGGGGGTGACGGTGGTGGTGAGGTGGTTTCAAACACTATTTTGTTTTTAAAGTATTTATAAGAAATAATTTCTAAAAGTAATTTTAAAAAATCAATTCAAACACACCTTTAGGGACTTATTTTTCCTATTAAATTTAGGATATTAATATTATTCGTTAGATTAACTTTAAAATAAAATTTAAAACGATATTAATCGCGAATAACAAAAGTTATTTTGTTTATATTTTGAGATTTGAATTATAAGCTATTTTAATATATATATTCAACTGGCTCAAGTTAAAAAGGTTGTTAATTTGATAATTGATTTAGGTCCAAGCATGCTTATTTGAACCGCAACTCCACTCCCTGTTTTAGCTTGCTCACATCCAAATTTCATACTTTCCCCAAGTAGAGCTCACCTTCATATTTGCACAAAGGGCCATTGATTGACACATCAGGTTAGGTGATAATCCTCTATACTCAATGCCGACAAGCTTTTCCAATTCTCCCATCAGTAAGTCTAGCATCCCTTCCATATAGATTTTTTGTACATTAAAACAGGAAGCTGCTCAACACAAAATACAAAGACGGTTTAGATCATTTAAATTTAATGATTTATCTTATGATTTATATTTTAATTTTTTAAACACGGTAAAACTGTCCGATTTACTAATCACCTTTTCGATCTAGTCAAAAGCAAGTCATCTATCCCAAAATTAGGGTATAAATCTCTCATGACTTGATCTTAAAAAATTATCAAAATTTAAATTTAAAATATCTAAATTTATAGTTCGTCTCTGTTTCTACATAAATTAGCTTGGGGTCTGCTATAATATTTTTTATATTGCAGAATGAAGTTCACATTGCTAAAACAATTAATAAATTCTTTTTCAATGATTCCTATAGAGCAATTTCTCAATTAAGTTGCCCTTTGGGTCTGATAACAAAGTACGAAGAACAGCACCCGAGAGGAAACCTGGAAGTGGGTAAGATTCGATCGCCATGTGACATGTTTTGATGAGAAATTGAGAACTATATGTTTTTTTTTTAAGGAAACTACAAATACATTCATTAATATCTTTGAAGATCGAAGGGCGACAACCGGGAAGAAGGTAAGATTCGATCCCATGGTGATCCTAGGGTGTGACAGGCACCCAACCACTAGACCATCCTAAAAATATTTCTTGAAACAAGACTCCAACATCTTACTTGCATCTCCTATTATCTGTTGTCAACTCAAAAAGACATACGTTTTGTACTTGATCTTACTAGGGCAACTAACAGATATACCCATTACTTTTCCTTTTATTTTTGGGTAAATCCACTAATTACTTTTTAATATCCACTATAGTGGTGTTTGAATAGACATGCACCCGTTCTATTATGGACCTTCCCATCCATTCCTTTTGCAAAGTAATCTATAATGCCA